TCCATTAAAAGCATTTGCGGAAAAGAGCGTCTAGATTGGCACGGACGCTTTTCTGCAAAAGCACTTTTTGCGGAAAAGCGTCCGTGCCAATCTAGACGTGCTTTTCTGCAAAAAAGCCCTGATCGCCATTTTCGCGATCGGGGCTTTTTTGCACAAAACAAATCTGAGCTGTCTACACTGGCCCTTTTGCGCAAAAGCTTTTGCACAAAAGGACTTTTGCCCGAACGCGAGCAGCATAGTATTTCTGCAAGAAGCACTGATTTCTTACATGAGATCATCAGTGTTCTTGCGGAAATACAAGCGGCCAGTGTAGACAGCTGGCAAGTTTTTCTGCAAAAGCAGTTGCTTTGGCGGAAAAACTTGCGAGTCTAGACACAGCCATGCAGATTAAGTTAAATCTGGAACAGCTTTCACAACTCAGTTTGTAGAGTTGGGGGGTGCGGGTACTGAGATTTAATTAGAATAAGAATCTGACAACTCATTTAAACATACTTGGCATCTCCATCATCTGGCATGATATTACGAAACTTTTTTCAGTCTTCCTACTTGTACATTAGTCTGGCATGTGACCAATAAAGCGTCTTACACTGAAAGATTATATCAAGCATGGACCCCTGATTTGACATCTTCATGTTTATTTTGCAATTCCTTAAGTGTACTCATGTGTTCCTGGAATATAGAATCTAACTGTTTCAAAACTGAAAAGGGGTTAGCATAGAAACAGTACTTAATAGGCATTATTAAGGGAAATTTTCCATCACTTTTCAAAACAGACATCGACTACATTATCCACAAACACCTAGTTAAATATTACTTCTGAACTCTGATGGCAGGCTCTGATTCTTTCCTGACATGCACACCTGCATTTTTCTACATCACCATTTTCATATCTAGCCTTGTGACTAGGTGGCATTATTAAGACTAAGCTAGAACAAACATGCACTTTTGTGAGGTATAATATTGCACTGGGAGAGGATGGCTTTAGCTCTCCGTATCAGCTGGTCAAATTGATGCCATAGGGCCAGATCCAAAGACCACTGAAATCAATGGAAGGATTTTTTAATGAGCTTTGGGTCAAGCTCATCATTTCAGTTCCTCAGCTTCAACAAGGGAATTTGCCAGACCGGAGGAGGTCAACTGCTGCTGGCTGGGGCTCCTGGCCCTGGTAGGGCTCCCACCACCAGCCCTTCTGCTGCCGGACTCCTGGCAACTAGAACTCTCTGGTCCAGGAACATCCATAGTCCTCCCAGACCACCAATGTTTCCAGACCAGAATCCTGGTTTAGAGAAGTTCATCATGCGCTTACTTTTGACACGATAAGAAACATTAATCTGTTTTTTCCCATTATATTCAGACTTACTAGAGTATTTTGTATCCACTGTTGCTTGAACACTGAGACTCTTCTGATGCAACCCAAAATTGCATATTATACTATTCTTCATTCTAAAATGCATCATTTAACGATGAATTCTTTAAATTGTTTTAAAAGTGCAGCTCTGGCCTGTTTAGTTCAATTTTTAACTATTATCTCCATTTTGCCCTATCTTTAATTACTACCCTTGGACAAATGATATTATTTAGGACTGTAGTGGTGAAAAAGCCAACAGATACATGCAATCCAGGAAAACTGAACAATTGTCCTTGGAGGTCCGATCATCTAAAAAAAAAAAATCTCACATTTAATATAAAGTTGATGGAAGCAGAGGTCAGTATGGCTGTGTCTACACTGGGCCACTTATTCCGGAAAATCAGCCACTTTTCCGGAATAAGCTGCGAGCTGTCTACACTGGCCCCTTGAATTTCCGGAAAAGCACTGACGATCTACTGTAAGAACTCAGCTGCTTTTCCGGAAAAACTATGCTGCTCCCACTCGGGCAAAAGTCCTTTTTCCAGAAAACTGTTCCAGAAAAGGGCCAGTGTAGACAGCACAGTAGTCTTTTCTGCAAAAAAGCCCCAATCGCGAAAATGGCGATCAGGGCTTTTTTCCGGAAAAGCGCGTCTACATTGGCCACGGACGCTTTTCCGGAAAAAGAGCTTAGCATCCTGCCAATGTAGACGCTCTTTTTCCGGAAATACTTATAACGGAAAACTGTTCCGTTTTAAGCATTTCCGGAAAATCATGCCAGTGTAGACGTAGCCTATGTGTTTGGCTGGTTTGGAAAGAACATTCTAGGCAATAGGCTATACTGCACATCCATATCTCTCCCTACAGTATTTCTGGTGTTCTTACCTTTGTGTAGCTTTAATAGGTATGATACCAAAAAGATTAGTGATGATATCCCATCAGGTTTGATGGTAGAAAAATACACTGGCCTCATCTCAGTTTGGACAGTTGTTCACTTAATGGATCAAAATTCTCTTGATCCTTTACAAAGCACTCAACATCTCTCTTCACTGAAAGCCTCCAGACCAGGCCTGCACAACATACAGCCCGTGGGCCACATGCGGCCCACAGGGGCTCACTGTGTGGCCCGTGACGACTAGGGGTGGCGCGGCCCCATCCGATCTGCCGGCTGGGCAGAGGAGCGTAGCGCAGCCGGGAAGGGGGAAGTGCGGTGATTCTTGTCGCTGGGCTGCCTGCCTGCAGCTCTGGCACGAGGAGGCAGGGTGTGAGCCAGAGGGCAGTACTCTGGAAGACGCCAGGACACTGACGTGACATGGCATCGTGACGTCATGGTTGGCGATCGCCGGATTAAAAAATACTCTGTCAGCCTGTGACGAGGTCCGTATGATGCCCCCCTATGGCACCCCGCTTCTCCGAGTCTATCCCCTTAAAGTCCCGCCTCACGTTCGGCATCTCGGGGCCTTGGTCGTGCCCCCGGCCTCTGCCTGCTTCCCGGCCGCGTTACCAGCCAGCGCCGGGCCCGTCCGGGTGGGGTGCTTGCCTCCCGCTGGAATCAGTTGTGCCGTTCCGGGACCTCGCCGCTCGGGGCTCCTTCCATCCTCCGTCCTCCGCGGTTCCACCTGCGGGGTTTGAGAGCACAGCCAGCTCCTGCTCTCCTCCCCCCTCCTGGTTCCTGAGCTCACCCTTTTGGGCTTCCTGGGCGGTGCCCCACCCTCCTACGCTCGCCGTGGCGTGGTGCCCCTTCTGGGTCCTAACGCCCTCCCAACTGGAGTCCCGTCGGCCGGCCGCTCTGCCGGCTGGCAGTTCTGGGCTGCCCGCTGCAGCTGCGGTGTTCTCCCCACCTGCGGGCCCCAGCGGACCGCCGCGACTCGCCAGGGCTCAGTCCTCGGACTGTCGGGTCTGCGCTACGGCTGCCCTCAGTCTGCCCCAGCTGTCAGCGCTAGCCGCCCGGCTGGGTGGAGTGCCGGGATCGGCTTCCCCATCACAACGGGGAGCGGCTTCCCCATCACACAGCCCCACAAACTGGAAGGCAGAAGCCAGGTAGGGGAGGAGAAGGGGCTTGTGCTGAGGGGAGAGAGACAGGTCAGGAGAAAAGGGAAGGCACCAAGTGTCAGAGTGCAGGAGAGACAAATCCCAGGGGGCCAAGTGGAGACAATGAAGAAAAGGGCAGGAGGGGAGGTATCAGTGGGAGGGGGGACAGGGTGATGCTGGGAGAGGAGAGGGTAAGGGCATTGGGAGCCGTATGTTGTGCAGACCTGATTTAATTGAAATATTCTTAATAAAGTATCACGCCCCTCCAAACCTACCCTTGCAGCCCACAGCTGTTTTCTTTGGAGTAATATGGCCCTCACCGCTTTCCGAGTTGTGCAAGCCTGTTCCAGACTCTATATTGATGTCAGACTCTAAATAAGATGCAGTATTAAATTTCTTTTTATTCAGACCATGACAAATTAGTGCTGATTCACTTTTCTAACTCAGGTCTTGATCCTACAACATTCTGAGCTCTCCAAAGCTGTAAACATTCTCAGACAAGCCCCTGAGCCAGGTGGGGGTGCTGTTGGTTCTGCACTCCTAGAAGGGGCAGAGATTTGGGCAGAAGGAGAAGGGCTGGAGCACAGAGTGCACCACACCAAACCTCCCACAGACGTCAGCACCACATGGTGCTCTTTCTGGGAGATTTAAAGGGCCCGGGGCTCTGGCCACACCTGCTGCTGATTTAGCAGTGGAGGCATCCGGAGCCCCAGGCACCTTTGAATCGCCAGGCCCTGGGGCAATTAACCCATTTGCCCCCTTCTCATTCACAGGACAGTTCCCATGTAAAAATACTCAGCCCCTTGCTGGATCAAACCCTCCATACAAAGTTCCTGGCAGCTGTGATGGAGGAGAGATCTGGTTCAGCTAAATATACCTTGAACAGAATCTGGTCCAAACACTGTCTGAGCTTAAAGATATCCCAGTTAAGTGGGTCGTTTAATGTATATGTATATGTATATGTATATGTATATGTAGTGAAACCTTTGTTATCCGGCACTCTGCTAACCAGGAAGCTTTGTTAACTAGCATTGCCCCCAGCCACAATACTGTCACATCTTCAAGCGCACAGCCCTGGCTTGATTTACCATGATGTGCTTAACAATTTTTTATTTAAGAAATAGTAATCATGTTTATCTCAAAATAGAAATGTGAGACCAACTGCCTCACATTACGGAACTACCAATATTAAAAACTTGAGTTTTACTATTATTGCCCATTGTTTTTTCCTAGGTTGATGGGACCCTCAGATAACCAGAATTTTTAGATAACCAGAATGCCCTAATCCCTGAGCGTGCCATAAAACACATGTTTTACTGTATAACTATTATTTCCACATATGGTTTCCCTGGGTACAGCGGATGTGTGAAAACATTCTTTTGGCATTGAGAGCTTGACTGCTGACAGAAACTACTTAAATGCAGTCAGAACCTGGTCTCAAGAAATATCCAGCCCTATTTCCTGATCCAAGAGATTACTTCTGAGCTTCGGGAAAGTTTGCATTCTTATGGGCTGATGACAGCCTGATGTCAAAGCACAGGCTGTATGCGTTGTTGGCTCATCATCTCTAGCTCGCAGGTCTAATGGCAAGGCAAAGGTTTCTAAAAAGAGGTGGGTGAATCACCTTTTCTAGCTTGTTGAGGTGTCCTTAAGTCACAGTCTCTGTGAGCTCACTTCCCACGAGCATTAACATGCCTGACAGACGTCAAAGCACAAACCTCTGTCTGTGACGTCTTTTGTTCGCTCTCTGTAGTGGGGTGGACTGAATCCAAGACACAAGCTTTTGTGAAGTTACCGGCAGGGCCTCTTAGTTTGGTCATATGTCAAAGGCTTTTTAACAGCCCATTGGGTAAAGAGCTGGCATTTTCTTAGGCTTTTGTGAAGACTCAGACGTCTGAACAGCATCTGGTTCAGAACCTCTCCCTGGCTGGTCTCATGTCAAAGGACAGGCCCTTGTGATGTCACATCCTGTTTGCTAATCTGATGAAGTCACAGATCTCTATGCAATTCCTTGCTCACAACCTGTCGCTTTCTAAGGTACAAGCCTTGGGGGTCACTGGATCAGAATCTCCAGCTGGTAGGTTTATAAGGAGGTGCAAATTTCCCCTGGCTTGCTTGAATGATGCTCAGGCAAAGGCCTTTGGGAGTTCTTTTGCTTGAAGGCAAACAAGGTGAGCAGGGCAATGCTAAATACGCAGGCCAGGGTTGGATAGACTGAAGATGAGGAACCTGGTTTGGGTTCATAAGAACATAAGAACGGCCATACTGGGTCAGACCAAAGGTCCATCTAGCCCAGTGTCCTGTCTGCCAAGAGTGGCCTATACCAAATGCCCCAGAGGGAGGGGACACAACAAGTAATCCTCACATGATCCCTCCCCCATCTCCCACTTTCAGAGAAATGGAGGCATCTTAGCCATCTGGATAATAGCCATTGATGGACCTAACCTCCTTGAATCATCTTCTGGCAAGGAGTTCCCCAGGTTGACTGTGCACTGAGTGAAGAAAAACTTTCTTTTGTTTTTTTTTAAACCTTGCAATGTGCCCATGTAAGCTGTGCACTTGTGCGGCTGCTCAGGAACAATACAAATGCTGCCCAGTTGATTAACAGAATGTCCACAGCTAGATTTTTTGTTTCTGCTGGTGGTGCACATTTGCACGTCTCATGCACATAAAAATGTTTTGTGTACATGGATGGGAAAAAAATCAACCCAGGGATGTAAAAGATTAGATGGAACATTGGTTCCCTGACTCAAGGCTGCCCAGCCCTGACACAATTTAGAGCTGTACAAGAGCAGCCCTTACACCAGTAGATCTGACTTAGCAGGATACTGTTCCACTAAGTTGACTCCCCTCGCTGCTTCACCTTTGCCCTCTCCCCATGTCTGTACACAGCAGATGTTAGAAGTAGTGACTGGCACAGCCACCTTTGCGTGATTTCCACTACCAGATGAGTTTCCATTAGTTATCTCCATTGGCTTATAGCCACTTTGGGCTGCTGATATGCAGCCTGCCAGTGCTGAAGGGGATAAAAAGGGTTAAGAGAATGAAAAGTTACAAAGAGAAAGCAACCTGTGTGTGCCACAGAAAACCTCTCCTGGGACTCAATGTATTGTTCTGTGGGAGGGGCTTGAGGGCAGGAGGGCTGGCGAGGACTGAATGTGAGGACAGAGGATTACTGACCATACACAAATTCACCAGCCATTCCCTCTAATGCATCAGAGGTGCAGAAGTTATTGGGATCTACTGCAGGCTGATGACTGTATGAGCGTACACCGATAAGTTTCCCTCTCGGTACCTCAGCCAGTGAGGATCATTCCTTCATCCCTGGGCCCTTATCATGTATTGTAGAATCATAGAACCATAGAACACTAGAACCTGAAAGGACCTCGAGAGGTCGAGTCCAGTCCCCTGCCCTCACGGCAGGACCAAGCACTGTCCAGATCAGGGCTACTCAACTTTGGAATCCTCGGGGACCACAATGATCCTCACAGCACATGCTGAGAGCCTCAACTTAAGTGTGGTTGCATACACATGCAAATAGATTAAGGCAAGACTACACAACACGCAGGCCCCATTTCAGTCCGTTCTGCTGATATTAATAAAATGCAATATTGACCCAATTTCCACCCATATGACAGCCCTTTCAACGAACAATGACAGTCCAGGAATTTAACTACTAAAACGCATATCAACATAAGACCATTATATTGACTTGCCGTTGTGGAGTGTGTTCCCAGTGGAAGCCATATTCAAAGGATACCACCTGCGGGCAGGGGTGGCCCTAGACTAGCTGCCAGCAACTGGCGCCCTAGGTGAACCATGAAATCGGTGCCCCCACCTCCAAACCCCTCAATGATATTGCGCCACCATTTGGCGCCCCATTTAACTTGGCGCACTAGGCGACCACCTAGTTTGCCTATATGGACAAGCTGCCCTGGCCTGCGAGCCACATGTTGAGCCCTGCATAAACCCAAATCACACTGTGGGCCACAAACAAACAGGCTGAGGGCTGCATGCAGCCCGCGGGCCATGTGTTGAGTAGCCCTGGTCTATATGATCCCTGACGGGTGTCTGTCTAACCTGCTCTGAAATGTCTCCAGTGATGGAGATTCCACAACCTCCATAGGCAATTTATTCCAGTGTTTAACCACCCTGACAGGAAGTGCAGGAAGTTCCTAACTATTCAACCTAGGTAGGGGAAAGAATTTTCCTCTTATAGAGCCAAGCTAAAGTGGTACAGCGTGTTCCTGTCTACGTGACTGTAATAGTCTAAGAAATATATTGTTGTTCTCACCATAAGAACTTACTCAACAGCTTTCTGGGTCAAAGTACATAAATCCCCAATTCAATAATTAGAACTTTTCAATATCAACTACAATCAGTTTGCTGCAAAAATGCTACATCACCGGAATATGATCTGCTGATTTAGTAAGTATATACCTTTCCCCGGTAGGCGAGGCAATGTAAGTTAGACTTACAGGTAGCCAGACTAGATCAGCCATTTTAGACTTGGTGCCAATTAATAAAATAGATAGAAGGGATCAAGTGAGTTTGATTGAAAACAAATAATTACTATTTGTTCTCAATGGATTTTTTCCATGAGTCTTAAACCATTTACATGCCCCAAACATCCATTATTCGGCACTAGTAGAAACTCCTCCTGGCTTGCATTAAAGCAGTCAGACTATTGCTGCATGGCAGGGCCAGAATGCACAGAGGTGAGCAGAAAAGAGGCCACAAAAGCTCCAACCATGTGAGCAGATAAGGGTGCTGTTGTCTGGCAAGCAGAGTCCTGAGGACATAGCCTGTGGCCACACACTTTGCCTGCTGG